CCCGCCCCCCGTCCTCCCCGGGGCGGGGGGGGCGGCCGGCTGCAGGTATTCACTGGGGCTGACGGCAGCAGTCGCAGCCATGCTGTCTCTTGATCTGCAAGGAGGAAGCAGAGAGACGGAGGAGTCAGACCAGCAGCGAGAGCTGAGACCACAGCTCCTCGGCGCACCCAGCTCAAGGCCCCAACACCCAAGGGACTCTCCCAGTGTCTCCCAGTATCACCCAAAACGTCACACCTCATTCACACGCCTTCAGTGGGGGTTACAAAGGGGCTAGAGAAACCTCATTGCCCTCTCCCCTCACTTTCCTTTGCCCTTTGCTCGCCACCAAAGGAAAATGCCAATTACAGTGGGCAACCGGCTGCAGCCCTCACTCATGTGCCTGCATCCCAGCACAGCCTCGACCTGAAGCCACGACTCGCCCCGAGCTGAGAAACCATTGCTGCCCTGCCGAGCCCCCCGCTTCAAAGCGGAGGCAGGCATGCCCAGCTAGCCGACGGCCTCCCGGTTCCCAGCTCATGCTCCCTCCCTGCCACTTGTTTTTCTAACTTTGGGAATCTCAAAGGACAGAGTTTTGGTACAGAATCATGTTTTTCAAGGCTGGAAAAACATTGTTTCAATTATTTTGGTATGTTGTCAGTGCTGAGTGTTTGTAAGTCATTATGTAATTAAAAGGTCACTTCGGGGAATAAAAAAAAAAAGCTGCTGGCGCTGGCTGGCAGCGGGACCCCGGGAGGCTGAGAAAAGCTGTCGGCGAGCAGGGAGGAGAGAGCAGCAGCAGGCGGCACGCGAAGGAGAGGAGGCGGCCACGGGAGCCAGGGCCACGGAGCCTACAGCTTCAGTGGGATCTGCACGCTGGGGAGAGGAGAAAGGTGAAGTTACGGTGGAGGAGCCAGTTGCTCGAGGGCCTCGGCAGGCACAGGCGGGCAGGGAGGGCGCAGGGCGAGCGGCTGCGGCTCCTCCGACGGCGCGGTGGGAGCGTGGGATGAGGCAGGGCCAGCCCGAGGGGCAGCTGTGAGCATGGGGGCGATTCACTGCCCCTGCGGCTTTGCTGCTTTCCTCTCTCGACACTTTCCTTGGACGTTTGCAATCTCCGATGCGCATCACTTCTGCTGCCCCGACCGCCGCAGAGCAGTAACGCCGAGGCTGAGGCTCTTCTTGCCACTGGGGCAGCTACAACAGTTTCTTTTTAAAGGTTTAATAGGGCGAAGCCAGGGAAA